TATATAGGTAATGATTGGCGATTTCGATCAGATGGGCCGTCACCGTTTATATAATTCTAGTTAAATAGAAATAATGTAATTTCGCTAGTAGTGATGTAAGAGTTGATTTGAAAATATGAAGCAGCTATATGGAGCAAATAACGCGTGTAAACGTCACCGCAATTTATGTAACTCCATATTCATTGGCGACATTACGTTTTTGCATATTTATAGCCTTTAAAGTAGTCTGATTTACAGCGTAATAAAACTCTATGAGGATATAATCGATCAGATTTATTTCATCTTGATCTCGAAGAATTGATGCGTGAAGTTAGTATTGAACAATGAAAATAAATAAACTTAAGGACTTTGGGATGCGAATGCCATTGATCGTTAATATAGTATTTATTATATAAATTTTCAAAGAATAATGTACCAAAATCTAAATGTTTACCAAGAAACGTTTATAGAAAATATATAAAGATGATTTTACGAAGCAAACAGTTTTGCGGCTTACCTTTTACTAAAACCGCGGGAAAAGAGAGCTGATCTGATGTCACTAGATTGTAGCCCTTTGTATTTGATATGTGTTTAGGCACAAGTATTGTACATTGTATTTGCAGGTACTGCTAGTATACTATATGCTCCTTATTATTTATCTTATATTACAATTAAATAAACATTCTTGATTTCAAATGAAATTCAACATTAATTATTGCAATACATTTTAGGTCAACGCTGTACATCCGTTTTTATAATGTAACCTTAACTCTTTATTAAACCTTTTTCATCAATAAAAAGTTTCGGTACCATGATAATTTGTGTTATAAGTAACTGAAAGCTAGACTAGCAGATAACAATATGTACTTGCAACTTAAAAACGTTCAAAGTGGGTCAGTGTATCGAAAGCTTGTTTGAGGTCAAAGGTAGACGCCCGTAGGGTCTGCTAACAGGTGCTAATTGGGCCCTAAGTTGCACTCATGTTTCTAATTCGAGGCGTGTTTGTATAAACAGTTATGCGTTATCATCGTTGATGTCGCTGGGGTTTTGTGAAAAATGTTTTGGACAATTAATTCTGTTGACATGCCCACTAGACAGGTTAAGTAAATATAGAGCACTCAAAATAGAATACATATAATAAAAAGTAACTGATTGCTATCTGTGCATGAAAGGTATACCTAATATGTATGAGGAAAATTATTGTTGAAGACTTTATCTAATATAACTGTTTCCCATGACAATTAGCAAGATCAACATTTTGTGAAGAAGTAATAAGAAGTTATAAGAAGAGAAAGTGAAAAGTGTCTCTAATAAAATTTGTTTAGACCTGTCTATACTTCAGATAAAATAAATAAAGAACAATATCAAATTATTGCAGTAAAAAGTTATGTTTATGTACATATATATGTGTATATTTTTACCTTTCATATCGCTATATTAATATATTAATTGAGTAATTTTTAAAGTATCATTATTTTGATTTCTTTAACTGTATGTGTTTAAATAAAATCAAGACTAATATTTAAAATCATTTCAATTCATTGAGCGGATTGTAATAATTTATCTTATTTTTATTTTATTTGTAACGCTATATCAATTGAGTGTTACATTAGTCGTAAGTGCAAGTACCCATAATTTGATGACTATTTATTTCTTTAATGGACATATAGGATTTAGAGGACAATAAAATTTTATCAGCAATGTATTAGACGACTTTGTAGGGAAGCAATGAAAAGAATGGGCAATATCGACCACCTAGAATACGGTGAAAGGCAAGATTGGCTTTTTAACGAACGAATCGTCCAAATTCAAGAAAGTTAAAGGGTTTTATTTGAGCAAGGAATGGAAGGAATGCTTTGTAGCTTGAATGATTCCATCTGGCATTTAATGCTTATTAAATTATCTCAATTCTCAAGATTATCTCTTGTATATTTATAGAAATATTTTAATTGAACTATAATAGTAAAATTTGATGGTATGTTTTTGTAGGTTTTTATTTTCAAGATATCTTTATAATTCATGCTGAAGTATATAGTCTTTGAATATAATTCTGACTGACTTCAATTAAACATGGCTCGTCCTCTATCACGTTGAATTCTAATATATAAATAGTTAAATGTTTCATCCAACACGATGATGAAAGTATGTATAGTTATTGGGTATACCTCTAGTTTCCCCATCTTGAATTAGAGTCAAGATCTTTCATATATACATTTTACATTTTTGTATACAAACTGGAACACAGAAACAGAAAAGATTCCTCATCTCATTTTCTATAAGTTAACCGTCGTCCAATTGAAAGACATTTTTATATACATCTACATTCATGGCACACTTCAAAAAAATATATCTGTATATAAATACGAATAAATGACTATTCGATAAGATCAATGACAGGTATACTATAAAATTTGTCGATATTAAACATACACGCATGACGTGAGTACACGTGCCTAGAAAATAAGTATTTACCACACAGGATTTAATCTGAACGAATTCTACTCGTTACTTCAGTAACATTCCTGCTCAAAATATGTAGATCATAAACTCAACGAAGTCAACCATTTAAAATTTATGTCTTGTTCATGCCAATGCCCCCACTAAACTTTTAAATAAACAATATGTAACTACATTTTTATTGTGCCAAATAGTACGGTCAAGGATTGTTAAGGGGTTACATGGGTTTCACGAATTCAAAAAAACGAAAAATTTTTTTTTGTCTTATTAAATTCTATAACATCTCTAGAATATTGTCCTAAATTTTCAAGTTGATCCGACTAATAGTTTCGGAGATACAGCCTTGAAAAGGTGGACGCTCGAGGTCAGGTATAGGCTGAGGGCGCAGTAGGTAAAACGCAGCTGCAGCTCATCTATTGTTTGTTAGCTGTAATTCTTGTCCCTTTTTCTTTATACAAGGTAAACTACTGGAAAATATTTCATTTGGTGATTTCTCGTTAAACTACGAAGTTCATTTTGAGGTTATAAGTGTTTGTTGTGAATTTTATTCGATAAAAAATGCCGTTTAAAGTGTCTAGAACCCAGATAACGGAAGGTGTTCGTATCAGCATTATTATTAATTATGCACGGTATGGACCTAAAACTTGGCCCAAATTCCCATGAATATGCCCGAAATATGGATGAAAACCGGGTGACCGCAGCCGAAAAGAAATCTGCCAGCGAGACTCGTGAAGCCAGGATTCGTCATAGACTGGAGCAAAAGGATGCCCTGGACAATGCAGGTGCAGCAGGTTCTCTACTTTATGGCCTGATTCAATGTAAGTTAAAAAAAACAAAAATTCCCACTTTTATTGTCTCTTAAAACTTTAAACGCGTTTTTCTCAAAACTATGTTTTCAAAGACGGTTGTCAAGATTTCTCGCGAACTACTCAACCGATCTTGATGAAATTTTACACAGGTCTTCGAGATATCATTTACAAGGTCTTGAACGAAGGATTTTTTTTTATTTTAATTACAACTATTTTAAAAAAAAAAATGTCGAGAAATTTTCATCGAAATTTGCATTTTTTTATAAAAACGTCTGCCAAAAATCCAATTTTCATTTATTTTTTTTTTCCTTCGTCCAATACCTAGTTTATTGTCTTTACTAAAACACGTATTTTTTATTTTTATTTCAGATGATCCTGAAAGAAGTTCTGCTGACAACGCGGAGGCACCTTTTTTTCGAGGGACTACCGGAAATGGCGTCGTAATGACCGCCATTTTGATATTTTTTTTTGACAATTTTGCAAAATGTTTATTAAATATGTATCTTTTAAATAAAAAAAAAATTCATTAAAATATTTCATTTTTTATATGTAAAAAAAATTATTGAAAAAAGGCCGTTTTTTGCCCGAGGAAACCCATGTAACCCCTTAATTAATTATAAGGAACGTCATAGACATTAATAAATATATGTATATACCAATGTTATATCTAATGTCTATCTATCTATGCTATATCTAAGAACAATTAGTTATTTTTTTTAAATCAATTACAATCAATGTTAATATTATATTAGTAATATATGTAATATTATCATATCTGTAGTTATATTAACTTATTTATATATAGATACATATCTTTATATATATCTTTCTTTATAATATAGTGGATGCACACATGTGCATCCAATATATTATAAAGAAAGGTAGAGCGTATTTTGCTATGAAGTGAGTAAAATGAACCAGTTGGAGAATTTCCTTCACTGTTTGAATAGCATTTTCTTTCCTATCCTAAAATAAAATATAAAAAAATTAATTTATAAAATTTAATGATCAATATATTGACATAACTAGTAATATATTTTGTATATTTAAGAAAAAATATAGGTATAGATGTATCTTATGAAGTATTTATGTATAATCCTCAACATAGCTAGAGTAACTGTTAAGCGGTGAAGATGAAATTTTTTGTAGTGGTGAAGCAAATAAATTTGTATACGTACGTTCTATACGTACGCCGATTTGTTCATCGATAGTATTAATATTATTATTTAATTGTATAATTTTTTAAAGCTTACGTTATCTTCACAACTGTTACCTCATATGGGCTAGTCGAAGGTATTGTCAATTCACGGTGAACGCAATTCGGTATATTGATAGATCAAAAGTGGCAGGGGGCGAATCTAACGTTATACAGATTAGTTTGGTTTGTTATCGATATTTTCATCATCGGAGAATTAATCAGAAATATTTTGATACACAAAGTTTTTATTGATGTTGGTCGAATTTGAACTCACGACCTTCTTGGCGTAAGTCTAGACAGTAAACATTCTCATGTTTACCAAGAGAATGATTATATCAATAAATTCATTGCTAAAGAACTAATGAAACTATTTACTACATAACATAGACTACGAAATATATGCAATGTGCTTTTAAAATTAATTTAATTGTGTTATTTTACTTTGTTATTAATTTATTAATATATTGTTTCTATAATATAGTGCTTCACATAAAAGTCAGTCATACCAGACGCAATGTGAAAGTTTTTTATTTAATAAAGTAAATATTTTCTTCCAGTTCTTACAATAATATGATGATTACACTTTAAAAGCTATGGATACGTCTGATGTCCAGTCTGGTGAAGGCAACATACACATACGGGCGTATGGGCTACGTACATGACCCGCGCTGGAACGCACTGCCCTAAGAAGGTGCACAAGCTGTTTGAATTAAGAATTAAAAAATAAATTAGCTTGAGCGTAAATTGTCTATGGCAATTAATAATCTGTATTTAAATGTCCAAATTAGCGGGAAGTTTTGTGCTTAGTGAATCAGATGTGAAGAAATATTGTAGGTAAGATTTTTATTAGTATAACGAAAAATATAAGTTAGTTGGTAATTAATAAGGAAAAGCTAAGCTGTTATAATGTGTATTAAATAAATCTGCAGGAAGTTTTCGTCACTAATATAGCCTACAAATATACAGTAATAACGGTTAAAAACGTTTCACTCTATAATTAACGTTTCTATTTATTTCACACTTTTCGTTTTACTAGAATTTATTACTTTACTTCAATTGTTCTTGTAAATAAAATAAAATCAAAATATAAATTCATATAGGTCTATTATAGACTGTTATAACAATGTTAAATATACTGTGAGTTCGGAGTGCTTCTGATCTGAAGAGTGATAAGACTATGAACATACCATACATATTTATTTATTGTTGAATGTGAAAGAAACCATATATAAGTAATGTACATGTAATTTAAAATTACATTCAACGTTAGATCAATATTAGGATTCTCCGTGTGGTTTTTCTTCTGGTGCCTCGCCATTATACAATGTGTGTATTACTAGCAATGACTGAATGACTTCCTGCCGAGGTTTTCCCACCAGACTACAGCATGGGGTTTTTCAAGAAGGGTATATCAAGGTTTCTTAAGGGTCGGCAACGCGCACGTGATACCCCTGGTGTTTCTGGCGATCATAGGCTACGGTAACATTTTACCATCAGATGGGCCGTATGCTTGATAGCCACTATCGTAGTATAAAAAAAAATCGAATTTCATCATAAACCACATATGAAAAATGTTATCCATAAATATGTTTTGTTTGTTATGAAAACAGAAAAAGTAGCTGTTATACTTTTTAGTCTAAATTCTTGATTTTACTAACGCTATGTGGAATTTCATTTAGACCTACCAATTCGTTTCATTCAAAGCTATGTACGGATCTACCTATGTGACCTATAATCCTAATTATTGTCTATAATGTATCTAATACGGCCGTATTCTGTTTTATGGTGATTCACTTCACACGGCACATGTATTGTTTGTTTCGTAGCTTAGTATTTCCGCTTTATTTGATTCAGAAATTAGTATCATTCACTCTGATCTTAATCGAGATCAACAAAAAAATTATTTTCTTCATTGATAAATTTGAGAGTTATTTTTCTTAAAGATTTCTTTCCTAATATAAGAATATTTAGTTTACTTCGACCGCACTGGGCAGGAAGGACGATTTGGTATTGATAAGTCGAGATTTTCTTATGTTTTGCGCATGTTGTTATTCTTTATTAACCTAGTGTCATATTGATATTACTTTATGAATAGTCTAAAATAAAGTCGCTGTCGCTGTCTGTCCGTCCCTATGTATGCTTGAATCTTTAAAACTACGGAAACGGATTTTGAATCGGTTTTTTAAATAGATAGAGTGATTCTAGGAAGGTTTATATATATAATAGATGTACCTCCGGGCGGAGCCGTGGCAAGTAGCTAGTTACTATATGATTTTTTTATTTATAAAATACTTTCATGAGTAAGTTTTACAATCTTTAATTACTAAGTAATGTGGTCTTGAGTAAACTGGACTGCATCGATGTTAATAATTTGTATAACTAAAATTACTATATTATCAAAGGTTGGTTAGCAAAAAATGCATTTACAACTATTTGTGTACAGACCTGACTGACGCATGTAAAGGAAAGTTTAATAATGTAAGGAAAAGAAAATTTAAATAGAAGATAATTATTAAGAATTTGGAATGTTACATTTTAATAATTGATTAATTTGTTGCAGGTTTAGTCTACAACCATGATCAAGGAAGATTTTTCAAAGACGATCAACAATGGAGTGATAGATAAAATCAGTGACTTCTTTTAAATAATTATATGACTGTATCGTATTTTTAGAAAAATGAACTTTGTCCAGAATCGACGTTTCCTAATAAAATGGACAAAGAAATATATTTGTGTTTATTGACCAAAAAGGATTGCTATAGTGTACTCTGACTGAGAAAGATGGAGAAGAAAAAACATTCATTTTGGAAGAAAATAATTTGGTAAGTTCAATCCACTTGTATATTAATTTTTAATTTTCAATTAATAGCGTTCATGTTAGAACCGAGCATATCGTTAATCAACGGGGATAAAGTTTATTTTAAATATATTATTATAATTATGTATAGAAAATATAAAGGTTCATTCGATTCATAATATTAGGTTTTATTAAATAAATATTTTCAATATAAATAGGCATTGCATGTTTTTAATTTTAATAATTTATGTATTCACTGTTTAGCGAAAGTGTTTCCTATAAGACAGCTGTAATGTACAGTCAGCTTTAATAGATCTTAATTTGAACAAGGATAAATAATATTTACTAGGGAATTATATTAAAGTATATATATCATCAAAATGTATAGATTAGATTCCATGCTTGTTAAAATATCCCTGCAAAACATATTTTAATTAGAAATAAGATTAATTAAATTTAACTGTCAAGGTGAAGAAGTATATATTATTAGTTAACTTAGATATATACAAAAATATATATTGTCAATCCTAAGATATATTTGGAATTTTTGTACCAACAAATTGACCGATCTGCCAGATAAATATTTAGGAAGTCAACTGTACAAAACTCAATACGTAATAAATCATGCGGTCGGTAACTTTATGAGGTTTTTGTATAGCGGCACTATCTCACTTTGATGGCTAGCAGCGAACAATGTTGTAGTATAAGTAGTAGTTGCACCTAGCAACATGATCGTTTGGACATAACACAATGTGTACACTCATACACGTAATATTGTCGTGCTCATGATAAATGACGAGGAATAGACTAGACAGTTTACGTCGATGTTTTGTCGGTTTGTATAAACATATCTATTCTGATATAATATTTTCAGCAGTGACATAATAACTGGTTTATTTATAGTATAGTTATTTTCACTTTTAGTTTTTACTTCAAAACAGAGTCTCTATATTAGGTTTTTTGTTAATAGTGAACAGAATTTTTGAAACGTAACAATTCTGTATTATTATGTGTCTATTTGATATTGTTATATACCAAACAATGTCGACACTGTACTTCACTGTACAATATTATACGGTAATATGTTCTGTTTTTCCTGTTTAGTTCTTCTAGTTCTTAGGATTACAATAGATATATTCCCATATCTATTGTAATCCTAAGAAACAATAATAAATTATGAATTGGGTATAATATAATAACGGCTGCTTTCTTAATTTTTATTTATAATTTTAGTAAATAATATTGGGCATACCATTCATTTATGTATATCAAATAGTAATCTTAATGTATTATAGTACAATAGAACTTAAATATATATGTAGTTTCTACATATAGTATGTCCGTGAATTCATCTAATCTCTATATGGTGGACGCTACTTTAAGTACACAATGTACTAATTGCATACACAATGTCGGCTACAGAAACATTTGTCCACAATAAATATTGTTATGTGAACTCAAACGGTAAATCTTTTTTCTTGACTACTCGAAGCTCCTCTGAGAGTAAAAGTAAACATAAATTATACGCTCCATTCAGCACGCAGCGAGCACGCTGAGTCAGGATTAAAAAAATAAGGTCAAGTGCGGAGTTCAGTTATCCTAACGCTGTCCTGTCTAAATACATGTTAACTTTGTTCATATAGCGGTTAGCGAGTTGTGAAAAATAAACTCATTCCACGCTTTATTGCTACTATGCGATGATTTTAAGAGTAACAAATTAACACTCAATTGATCAAATTGTTTACATTGAAATTGTTTACCTAATTAAAAGCTATTGTATAGTGTTAAAGAGTGAGTTAATATCTGCTGTAGATTAGGTGATTACAAGAATAAATAAATAGTATTTGTAAATAACTCTACGGCATATGCCGAGCGGAGACCTATTTGGGACCAACATAGTCAAGGACTATGTTTTAATGGTGAGAAATGCCAGAAAATTTACAGGATACGATGCTATGATAATTTAGGCCTCCAGAATGTCAACTCATAGGCGTCACGAGCGTCACAGTAACGTAATGTCCATGTTAATATTCATCTGTATAGGTGACGATTGCCACTTATCAACAGGTTGTTCAATGTTCTAGTTACAAAAAAAGTATCATTAATGGATCTGTATTATTTTGTTTAATTCCACTACTACAAGCATATCTGAAACCACAAATATTCATTGCGGAAGCTTGACTACCTCTACTGGAAGTGTCATGACCTTCTCTAAAACTTAGTGTTTGACGATTCGGGGACTAGAGTACTATCGTAGTTTGGTCAAAGTAAACAAAGTATATAAAATATATTCACCAGATATTTCTAAAGCGGAGAATCATTTTGCCGTAGCGGCTCGGGGCGAACTCTTAACTATTCGTTCGTAACTGTTCGTGGCGGTGTTAAATTGTTACTATTCATATCTTCTACAGCGCCAATAATTGCATGACAGCTGTGTTTACTACCCATCCATTTTAACACGTTTCCTATAGAAACGTCATTTTTAGTGTTCATATCTAAAATAAATTTTAAAGGGGGTGTTTTTGGAACGTATGGAATTTATTGTAAAATTTTTGTTACAATATTTGATGAGAAGTGTTATAGGTTTATAAAAGAAAATTCAATTAACTTAGACTAGTTTAATATCATTGATTTAAATTGAATGAAAAATAATACCTAATTTAATAAACTATGTATACTACAGATATTAACTAAAGGGACACTTTATATAATAAAAATAATATATTGATGGTTTCTACAAAGGTTTTATATGATTTTGCAAAGTTTATATGAATAAAATTTTATATTTTGCTTTTAATTAACGTGTTATTAAATTGCTTTTTATTAATTTTAATTAACGAATTTAAATAGATTGATAGATTGATTTATAAACTTTATCAATTCAAAATAATAAAAATAAGCCTAAACCTATTCTTAATATTACTTTTATATGTATTTATTTATATCTAATCCATTTCCAAAGACACATAACCGTCTATCATGTGTCACAAATGTATTGTAAGTAATTAATTTACTCCTGTATATAATGAATCCATATCGTTATAAGGTAATTTAGGTAAAGAATAATGATACACATATTATAAATACATATAGTACAGTCAATTTTCACAGTAATTTATTAGTTATTTTCATATTGTAATACTCTTATCTTCTTTCGTGTTCTAATTTTCTAATACGCCAGAGGCTGCTAACCGATGTAAATCCAATTAGAATATTTAAATGTTTATTTTTGGTTAGGCAAGTACTATCAAACCATTATAAGTTTATTGTATATTTTGATTTATATGTATGTTTATTATCTGTTAATTTGTTTATGCCATAAATGGGTTAAGCAGAATTTATAGGTATTTATGTTGTTAGTTTAGGTTGGTAACAATGACAAAACAAATTGTAACGTAGTATTATATTTTAGGTGATACTAATTTGTAATATTGTTTTTTCTTTTAGTTGTAAATGATATAAAAAAAGAAAAATAAATATAGTATATTCTATTATTTAACAATACAACAGTAGATTTGTTCTCATTATCATAAACTACAATACATATATTTTATAATAATATTTATTGGAATGTAATGTTGTTAAGTACTATATATGTACTTAAGTAGGTACGTACAATTTGAAATTAACTTCACTAATACCTTTTTGATAATACTTAGTCTAACAAAAGCAACATTTACTTTTGGCTTGTACCTTAATTGCCTATATTCAAATATTATCTTGACACACTTAACTTTTACTTTTTTTTATTCATACTCAATAGAGATTGTCACATTTTGCGCTGTCACTGAAGTACTTGCTTGGAAAACTACATAAACCCATGAATGTTATAAAGGAAAGGCAGCCATAAAAAAATTCTCATAGGACAGTTGAGGGCGATGTGATTTTAACATAAAAATAACGGCGATCGGCACTTAATAAACCACTTAAGACGTTCATTAGTGTGTTCTACAGTCGTTCGATAGTTTTAATGCGCGCGATGTGGTTGCATTCGGTGCTCTTCCAAAATGTAACGTTCAAACTCCAAAACGTCTAATGGAGATGTCAGATTGCGCAACGTGTTGAGAACTGCGTGGGTGCACACCGATATAGGGTTGTCGACAGCCGACTCGCGGTTGTATGACTGACACTCGTATGTACAGGTAAATCTGCAATTGAATGCAAAATAATTTATAGCTCTTTTTCCTTATGATTAGTATGAGTATGAAATTGTTTATTTGTACTAACCGTATACGCTCGATTATTTTACCACCATCTACTTGCGGATTACTTTAGGATGTGCATAAAGTCGAGGTTAAGTGTCCTGGTGAGTTCAGCAGGATCTAACAACTATACTTTTTAAACAGTTTGCATGGAAATCGATGAGACATGGTACATTTCTGATAGTAGATCTACTATTTCTAATAATATTTTCTCTCCCTTACAGATTATATTTGTCTGTTAACTTGGATAAAGTTATGTAAAATTCGATTAAAAGAGCTATAGGAATATCACTTCGGAACTTATTAATTTGTCATAATGAAAAGAGCGTTTATTTTAACGATTGCAAATTCCTAAATCAATCTATGCTTCTTGTGTATCAAGTTATACTCTAACAATTTGGCAATTACAAAAGCTGTATCAAAATCGATTTAGAATGGTCGTATTACATACAGAAATACAATGGAATTGAAATCCTTCTTATAAAAAAACAAGCACCTTTTTATTGTGTTGTACAAAAATATCTTGTAATGAAATGAATATGTAACATATTTTTTAATAAAATTAATGTCACACGAACTCGAGTCTCGAAATCGAAATTTGTTACGGTTTGACGAAGATAAAAGTAACTGGTAAAAATATAATATTTAAAATTTTTATGGTACCAGCAAATGAATCTCGATTTGATATAACAAAAACTACAGAAGAAATGATTGCGTTTCAATTTAATTTATTTTCTAATCTCTTGCTGCTTATACAATTCAACCCTCTTGCTCCTTAGTATAAATTGAGAAAGTAAAGTAAACTAAAAAGACAAAATAAAGGCATTTTAACATGCTTCATTGCGCGGCGCCCACTAGTTCACCTCACGAGCGTCACTTGTTAACTATACCTTCAACAGACTTCATTTGTTAATAGTGTTGTCAATGAATGTTTAAACGACATTTAAATTCATAACTGAGACTTTTAAATGTTGCTATCTACAACATAACTATGTTGTATATCTAATTACAACATAGTTATGTTGTTAATTAAATAAAATAGTTACTCGCATGTCAAAAATTAAGAAGGAAAAATTAAGAAAATACACACGTATATCTCTAATTTTTTTGTTCTATCGTCTGACTGAGCATAAATTTATGTACTCTTAAGTAAATAGGTAACTAGCTAAATAGCCTTACTAGATAAATGGGCTCTCCAATACTGGAATAGTTATTCAATTCAGTTGTTGAATTGAATAACTATTCCAGTGTTACCTATTTACTTAATATGAGCATATTCAACTAAGTAAACAAACTAAAATATATGTATATATTAGTATACTATATTTATAAATAATTCTGATAAGTAATTCTGACTAATTTCAAATTTTGGATATATATATACATACAAAATCAGCATCAACACAAATAAATACAAAATCATTTACATGTTAATTCGCGTAATCTTATAATATTCCAGAGGATTTATTATATTTTCATAGATGTTAATCTAAAAACCAGCAATATGTAATATGTAAACCAAGCAGACCTATACTACCTTTAATAATGATTTAATATATTGTAGTGTAACTAAGGATACATTCAAATTAAATGAGATTAATTATACATTTTTTTTTGTAAACAAATCGATGCGATCGTCTTTTATAAATCGATATAAGTGACAACACTACTCGAACTATAGTTTAGTTTAGACAATGGTTTAAAGTTTAAGTGGATGTTGTTAGCTCATTACCTTGTACGTCTCGTGAGAGCATCGTGTGAAGTATCGTTATACCGACAAACTGTTTGCGGATAACGACGATAATTGCGGGTTTTCTAAGGGCTTTTTCAATATGTGCTATTAAACTGTCGAATTGAGTTATTTCTATTTATCTTCTCTGTTTAGCTTTACTTTAAACGACGTTTATACGTAGCATACTGTATGCTTTTAACTGATTATGTTTATGATGCCATATATAAACTTTGTGAAAATGTTACGCAATAAATACTTTATTCTTCCACACATAATGCACCGTGCTCTCTGTAAGGCCTTATTAGAATAAAATATATTCATAACATTGTTATATACTTATCTATCTCTAAGTATTGCCATAAGATTGAAGTGGTATTGATCAGAAATAAATATTTTGTATAAATAAATATTAAATTAATATGCTCAATTGTTTACAGGATAGCTGCAATTATCGAATTTGCGATGGTTACCAGAGCAACCAATACCACCACACTTCCACCGCAGGTAACATTTATTAATGGTTTTGTACTGTAATAATTATGATAATAATATAACACCTCAATGCGCAATAATAAGTGCACAAAGTATTTCAAGAGGTACCTGGTTTACACATACAAAAAAGCTGTATATAATTATATATAACTAGCTACTCACCCCGGCTTCGCCCGGGTGTACATGCATATATAACTTCCGCTTGAATCACTCTATCTATTAAAAAAACCGCTTCAAATCATCATCCGTTGCGTAGTTTTAAAGATACTTAGGGACGGACCGACAGCGACGGCGACTTTGTTTTATATTATGTAATGATTCTTGCACAATTTATATTTTTAATACAAACTTACTCACAGCTGCTTTTGGAATTGATATTCCTGAGGACTAAGTAAACCATTGTCTATATAAACGAAGTATGAGTACTATAAATATCATGTTATCATTAAACCTCCCTGATATCATTCAAACGTTGGCATTTCTGAAGGCTATGATGGACGACTTTTTACAGTGTACGTTTGGTTTATTCCAGAAAAGAAAGCTATTGACGGCAAAGTTTGGTGAAAAGTAGGAAAAAATGTATTATTAAACTTAAATATATATTTTCTAGGTAACAGAAGGCAATCAAAGTGAGGGTTATGTGTGGAGTACTTGGGGCACTTGGAGTCGGTGTTCAAGAACCTGTGGTGGTGGAGTAGCAGTTCAGGAGCGCCAATGTTTACCAAGGTTAGAAAAACATTTTTTTCTTAATATAAATAATGGGTATATTCCGCCCAACTGTTGGAATTTTCTACCTAACTAGGTACCTGCGTCTAAACCAAATTGAAATTTAAACCGTAAAATTTATATTATCGTTATTATTGGGATTTATTTATTCAACATAAAGAATATTCTTTATTATTAACGTTATAAATTTAATGTTTGATAGAAATAACGGCGTGACGTACGTGATTCTCTTACACATTAACTGAAGATCACACACAAAACTTACTATAAATATCTATCATATAGGTGTATTTTTTGCTTCACCCCCAGAAAATATTTCACTTTCCTATAAAACAATTTTCTTCCAAGGTATAAGATATATTTTACCAGAACTTCTTATTTAAATTACGCTCGGTTTATTTTTATAAACTAAAATTGTATATCTTTTATATGATATTAAAACTGTAAAAATAAAAAAAAATATTTCATGCTATTATCCAATTTTCTATGAGATAAAGCCTCATATTAGGTATATTAATTTGAGAAGCATATTAGCGTCTTTCTTATTTTGTAAAGCGTAAAGAAGATACATATTTCTGTAAAGTACCAGGTTATTATATGGCCACGGTCCAAGGCACTCATCAGTTAATGACTTATAATATGTATTGTACATAAAAGCAAAAATTGTAAACACCTACCATTTATACGCCCATTACGGTAATTCGCTTTCGGCCGCGTCTACACAACACGACTAATCGTACGGTGAGCATACATTAAGCGATCCGTTTAACCTAATCGTGGACAGAGAATTAGTAGCCGGATGATTTTATAGAGCTGTGAAATTATAATGTAAATTAAAATTATGGTAAACATTTTATCGTTTAATATCTTAGATTTTATCGGATGAACTTTCATATCAAAATTAAGATATTATAACCACTTAGGTGTGAATAGCTGTATTTAAAATTTAGCAACAAGTTTTAAAACAAGCTGTTTTAAAATACAAGTAGTGTTATGGTTACGTTAATAGTATAACTGTTGTTAATGATAGATAATAACGTTGTTATGTAGGTTCGCTTTATTAATGATATTGTAATAACTGAGATTTAAGAACATTATAAATAAACCACTAGATAATGGCTGATTGTCATAAAACTTTCACTTCTATATGTATAAGACTCAGTTTTATACGGATAAACATTTTAATATGATACAATAATTACCGCAAGTTTTCTCTGTTTATTATTACATATGCCTAGACAATTTATAATGTACCTATATGTTGTATGCAGATTTTAGTCTTTATTACTTTTCTACAGATTAAAATATAAGCGTTTTATATCAAATATACATATACAATATATTATATACTATATCCATTCTAATATTATGAATTCCAAACTGAGTCTGCCTATCTGTTTTACCTTGTACTGTTATATTTTTAATAAAATTTTATATAAAAATAGATCGTATCTCGAAGACGAACATACTTATATTTTATAAGTTGCGGGTAACAGATGGTAATGTATATTCTGAAGAATTCTAAATAAATGAGAATTGTAATTAGAAGCTCTTGCCCCAAATAGACTTAATCTCTGACAACCTCAATTATTGGGAAAATCGTGAAATCGTGAGTCTATTTTTCATCAGTACTTATAATCGAGATAGAAATAATCGATTAAGGAATTTATGAAATTGAATGAAATAGTCAATTTTCGCCAAGTGTAAACGGCGCGGCGCTCGCTAAGGGTCAAAAGGCTAAGCATGACCCTAAGACCTCCCCGTACGGTTTTTATCGGCCAAATTAAGGTAATGGAAACCCCGTAGCGTTAAGCTTGTAACAAGCTGTTATTGTAGTTGGAGCATTGATTGCTTGCACTCGGCCGCTTGATTGACATGCATCACCGTCGATAGTCGGTAATGAGCCCACGATTACCGCACCTCGATAAAGAAGACAAACTCTATTTTGTCTACATTTTGTAGTTACCTACTAATGAGAGATTACTTTTGAAATCGTCTATAGGTATTCATATAAAGAATTTATATGTTTAGCTCAGTGTTCTTTTTATATTTTGTTTATATCTACTTTCTTTAAAAAGTTTAGTAACTACAGTATTAATACAAGTTTTTATAAAGGAATTAAGTTTTTAAATATATTTTTTTTAATTGTATTTCGTTCTACAACACAGAACCGAGGAAATGAATAGTTTACTATGTAACATTAGAATATAATTTTATTCCATGCTATAAAGTATTTCTTGCCGGAAATACTTCAATTTGTAATTAGGTTTCAGATTTTCAAAACTAAGTAGGCATGTCTATTTTCGTAATTACAGAGACTAAAATAAATAATTAAGTTACGCGTATAATAATAATTCAAGTGATACTGTAATATATACTCATATATATACATATAATAGTGATGGTATAGAAATATATATATATATATAGAATATAAAAATAAATATCAACTAGATAAGTCAGAAGTGCACATATATATCTTCTGCTATTTAATGTAAATTCGTAAGTATGGTTTTGTTTAATACCAAATTGTTTCCCTAAAATTAATTGATTAAACTGGTAATTAGCAATAGATTTTTTTTTAATAATTTCCTAAAAAAAACTTCTAGTCATTGTTAGATTTTTATATTTTTGGCAGTAGATTATAATGTTTATATTTAAGATAAATGCGATATTCTATTTTTAAATATAATTTATTAGTAAATTTACACATTGGTCTAAAAATTACATATACATCAAGATATATAGATTGTTTGCGACGTTGAAATTCTTTATACGGTAAGAGCTTTTGCTTATAAACCTTACTATTTATTATTCAATTGTTACATTTAATTGTTGTTGTTGTTTGTTTAATTTACATACATTTATAGACATTTATCACGTTTTTTTAATTATCGATCGACCCATCAATAACCTGAACAAAGTGATCCGACAAACCGTTATACAAGAATCTATTTATGTTCAAATGAATGCGCGCGACCCGAGATAATTGTAGCGTCCAAGGATCCAGGATTAATACGACCAGATATAGAGTGCTGTTACATAGATAAGTAGGCAATCAAAATACCGTCGCTCTTAATTAGTAAGGGTGCCGGCGGCTGAGCTACGTTGGAACTGGGACAAATCAGTGTAATGATGGTGTTATTTCTTTGTTGAGTTTGTATATCGTATTCCTGTTTTTTTTTTAAATCATGAATATGGAATATTGCACTCGCCTGCGTTAACGGTACGTTGTACCCTTGGAGGATGATGAGATGAAGATTGAGGTAGATCAGTTAGCCCATCATGGCGAATTCACCAGGAGTTGATAGCGATGGATACCAGCGTGGAGGTCAAACTGACAGGTTATATTATTATTATTGGGACTTCAATTATTATATAACCGCATTATTAACAATTTTCGCCCTCCCGTAGTGGTGCTGTGGTAACTACTGCTTTTTTCATTTCCACGCGATTATCATACTACAACTGAGTTACATCATCAAAATTTTCGTTTATCTAATAAATTCTTTCATTAGAATGTAAAAAGTATCCTGCTGATAGTGGTCGTATAACTCTTAAATGGATGCACAATCCCTATGAAATTTGGTGCATCGGTAGATCATAGACTACAGTAACATATAGTAGGCAACCTGACCTACTGCTTATTATAATTTACTAGTAAAATTGTTTTTTTTTTTATCATTTTGTGTCTTTAATACAGGATTGAAATACATTTTACGTTAATATAAAAATATTTTGCATTAGTAAAAATTTTAACATCATCAAAATATGTAGTAAATTATATCTACGTCAATTATATTCTTTCATTAGAATGTAAAAAGTATCCTGCTGATAGTGGTCGTATAACATCCTCGACAAATTAGGATCATCGTCATTTGTCATGAACTCTCATACATACAGACAGTGTACACATTTCATTAGTCGGGCAATAAAGCGAGGATGAAATATTGCTTATATTCTGTTGTTGGACGATAGTAATTTGAATCAGTATTTATGACCTCAAAAGGAGCTAGCTTTGAATGTCTTCATGGTCTAACATATATATTTATGATTCTTGTGATGAAAATTTGATTGTCTCATTTTATTGCGGTGTCGATGACAATGACTTTTTATTGTTATATTGGCCTTCAACGATCACGTCATTATTTACAAATTATAGAATCTATATTTATACCCTATATTTTATACATAAGTATTTGCACCATTAAAAATCGAATGTATATTTGCGTCTATAGTAAATAAATGTATATATATATATTATAATATATGTGACTATAGTAAACATGAATCTCGTAATCATGTGAAAAATACTAGTATAAAAATTCAATATTAAGATGCAACCCAAAAATATAAAATCCAAAAATCTTGATATTTATCACATCCAACTGTAACTAACGTTCATACATCTATACAAAAAAACTATAGGTAGAAAATGAGTTAATACCTGTTTAGATCTTTCTGTGACTATAGTAAACATGTTCATAATCATGTGAAAAAATACAGTTAACGTTCTTTGAACATATTATTTACGTTCTTTGAACGTTTAGTCGCGACTTCGTCTGATTGATTTTAAAAGAAATATAGTCTGTTTTCGTCCTCGTGATATAATCTATCGTCATGTTAAATTTCATTAAAATCTGTTGAACCGTTTTGTAGTGAAAGGGTAAAAAACAAACTGATAGATACTATTGCATTTATAATATTAATAGGAATATGTATTCTCAAATAAGTAAGCTGTACAGTTATAATAAAAGTAGGTAGACCTTTATATATATACAATAATAACGATTACTTAGCCAATTTGTCCAACAATTTGTTGAAGACATTTAATTACTTCTATTGTGATTTAATCATTATTAAGTCTGGCGCCACTATGAGCCATTCGACCTATTGACGTGGTCAACTTATCTTATGACCGCCTTAAGTACAGACACCAAGTGGAACTAATCATTACCACGTGGACATGAATATTCAAACACGAGTTTACATTAAATTAATGTACGCGTCCTGTTGCGAGTCAGGAACATTTGATTCTCGCATAGGGCTGTCATTAATTCAGGTTTCCTTACATTGTAGCGCTGATAATATAAATGTTCTTTGATTCTCGCATAGGGCTGTCATTAATTCAGGTTTCCTTACATTGTAGCGCTGATAATATAATGCTGTACTTATCCATACTAATATTATAAATGAGAAAGTGTGTCTGTTTGTCTATTTTACGTTTAAATTGAATGATTCTATGGTGAAATTAGTTACATCGCGCAGTATCACCGTTGCCTAGCATGTCTGTGATGCGGACCAGAAAAATAACAAGTCTGTCATTCGAGACCGGGTCCTATTCTTAAATTCTTTTCGTATATATATTTTTTAAGCACAAACTTTTTATCAGTTAATATTTCTACTTAATGTACACAATATAGATAGCCACGATTCGATTAATCCTTTCATTTTCCGTTTCCTGTCGCTGTCCGCACTATTCGTAATATAAATATTAGCAGTAACATAATAACCGTTAAAAATGAAATTTAAGTTAATTTGGTAATAAATGGTATTACGTGAATGGGCTATTTATGCATATTTATACATATAAATAAAATTGGAGTGTCTGTTGTCTGTGTATATGAATATGTATGTGCATACACGAAAATAACATTTTTTATAATTTTTGTCTGCCTGTATATTTGTTCCGGATAATCTCTGAAATAGCTAGACCGATTTACACGGGACTTTTTTTAGCACGTAGCTGATGTAATAAGCTTAGCTACTTTTATATTAGGAAAATAAAATAAAATTCCACATGGAGGAAGACGCAGGTGCAGCTAGTATTATAATAAAAATAAGTAACTAATCGCGGTCTGTATTGAAAATATATTATTATTAGGAGACTTTACCAACGTAACTGAACCAAACATAATTATTATTAGAATTTTTGTCTATTAATTTGTTCGTTCATGACCGTATTAAAAATGACTTACCCGATATGGATGGGTACCATTTTCAGAAGTAGATGTATTGCAGTAAGCTTTACTTAGAAATGTATAGTTGCTTTATTTCAATCGGTTTATATACAATAACGTTGATAAAATAGAAATCCCGTAAAGTTTTGATTATTCAGAATATCATTTTCATAATTTATGTATTTTTTTTTCAATTTATATATCTGTTAATATATCTTGCAACTTAACTTATAATACGGTTTAAATATATTTGATTGGCAACCCTAACCCGAAGTAAAATGTAGACCGATTTACTCGAATGCTAATTGTCTTCTTATTTTACCACCAAATTAGATTAACGTGTTCAAAGCTATTTGTTACCTGGTTGATTTCATTACACGATATTGTATGCTATGCCGTTTGTAATGTGATTTATTTTACATTTACTAAGTGGTTTCGTATTGAGTATATTTTTTGAGATACACGTAATTACAAAAAAAATATTTCTAAATATCAAGTTTCAAATAATACATATTTAGGATTATAATTTTAAAAGTACTAAATATATTTCTTAATTTTTAAAGAACATTTGTCAGTTTTTTTATGTAATGGTGTTAATATATATGTAATATTCCCTACATAAGTAATTCTAGTGCAATTAGATGCCAATCTGTAAATGTAAGATTTAGATTAATATCTAGGTAATATAATTATATCTAAATTAGAGATCTTAGCCGACTGTAAATTAAAATATGCGGTGCGATAAACTAGTATGGTAGGTGCTGACAAGTGCTAAACATTGATTGCAGATATAACAAGTAGGTACTACTGTCATTGATCTTAAATATGACACTCATGGTTTTATTTGCAAATCTCATGTGCTTAAGTTATTTGATGAATTAGTTTTGGTTTTTAATGATAGTAGATAGATAAAATTAATAAAGAAATTCGTTGGTGTCGGTCAGATTAGATCTTATTAGTGTTTAAATTTATAAGTTGGGTTAATGAATCACTAGTCTACCACGCTCCACAAAATGTGATTTGTACGTTTATATTATACAATTAATGTTTTTATATATTTTATTGATTTTTATATTTTATTTTGTTTCAGAACTAAATCTACAGCATCTAACACTACCTTGGCTCCACCAGTAATAACTATTAGAGTGGCTAGAGAAACACAGGCAGACTGTTTAGGTGTTGCTAAGAGATATCACGAGTGTAATACTGCTGTAAGTACTATTTTTTTTTTAATATCCATAAGTATCTAAGGTACCGTAATGTTATAGATTGGAATCCTCGGTATAAATTAATGTAATATAGAAAAGTAGTTGACGATTTGCTGGCATATCATCGTCTAGTCTAAACTTTGGACTTGTAAACTTGTTCTTTTTTTCACAGGTGTTGTTCATAATACCTAGACGAGCAATAATAATAATGTCCCAGGATAACTCAAACAGCCTATCTAGTCCCATGTTAAGCAGAGTTTGTGTTACTAGACAGCTGATACAAAAACGTATTTTTTTTTTTAATTCATACATAATATACATATAAACCAACCAGACTGACACAAATAATCATACTTATGAATACAAATGTTTGCACCGTGTTAGGTATCAAACCCGTCACCATCGGAAAGTAAAGTGGTATGATAAATCTTTTTTTTAAATTACATTGTCGTAACTAAAAGTGACAAATAAATAAACTTGAAGTCGAGATTTTTTTTATGTTCATAATTAAATAATGACTATAACTTGTTTCCTTGAGTCTTGACTCGACTTGGCCTATAAATATCAATACTTTGATAACATCAGAAAATTGCAATATGTTGCCATACGTACGATTCTAGTATTGAAAGCTCTTAGAGATTTTCCATTAGTTTGATAGCTATTCCAGTTTTATAAAATGTTACATGTACGTCACGGTTGTTATTGTACTAGTAGTATAAATAAATCTCTAAAGCAGCCTACTACTTTAAAAATAATCAACTTGAATACTGACACTAATTTGAATTGCATTAAATATTTTACTTTTTTTAAGAGATGAAGGATTGTTATTTTTTTATAGAACAACATTTCAAGTAATTAAGTTATGTTTACCTATTATTCTCTGATGTGTTTGCTAAAGAGATCTAGTAAGATAAAACAGAAATCTTGACGTCCTCAGTGGTCACAATTTTGCACACCGCTTTACTTCCTATGGTTGCGGGTTCGATCCCTCGAATTGTGCATACTTTTGTAATCATAAGTATAACTGTTTGTATCGGTCTAGGTGTTTTCTATGTATTGATAAAAAAATCTAAATATTTATATCAGTTGTAGTAGTATAGTACCCATAACACAAGCTCTACTTACAGTGGGACTAGATGTCGATGTGTTAATTGTCCAGGGTAATTTATTTATTTATTACAATGATTTGCTTAATTGATACGCTATTAGAGGTTTAGAGGTTAAGCAGGCACTCAGTCTACTCTAATAAATATTGTTTGATTTACGATATCATGCCTTGTAAAATGTTTCCATGATTACCATTGTTCTTTCAATGTTAGCCCAGCGTATGCCCTACATATAACTACATGTAAATGTGTTTGTTTTTGGTTTTTCTATCTTAATATTCTTTATTACCTAATAAAATTTTAACGAAGCAAAAAAGTGTCAAAATTTCACTTAAAAACTGCATAAGTAATTTTGATGAAATTTTCACAGAATGTAGATATTGTTTAGATAATGTTATTATGTATATAAATATAATATTATTATGTATATAAATAGGCTAAGTTAGGAAAAAACTTCTCCAAGGGGCTTACTCCAAATAATCGTATTTGTGCCAATTTCAATAATCCACGTATAATTTTATTAATCCATTCACTAATTAAATCAAATGCTGTCGATCTGCAAATCTATCTACACATGTTAAATTAGCGGTCACTACTATTTTTTAATAATATTAATTGAAAATTGCCTCTTGGACTAAGACGGATATGGAATACAGTATGCAATGATATTTGTTTTGTTTCAGCCGTGTTCTGGAAGTGTTTCGGATATGCGCTCTGAACAATGTTCAACATATGACAGGAGACCTTTCCGCGGACGATTTTATACTTGGGTTCCATATATAGATGGTTTGTATATATTATATTTTACACACTTTTAATATAATAGTTAACGCATAAATACAATACATATTTAATAAATAAAAAATACGTACCTACTTTAAATCAAATATAGAAGAAGTCAAAATGAATATAATCTGTAATACACCATGGTGTATGATATATGTAGGTATATTGTTATAAAAGTATTTTAGCGTTTAAAGTAGGCACATAATATAAATATACGCGTATCATAATCATGAAGTAATTTCCTAAACGAATTTTGTAATATGTATTACCTATCCGCATAGTATTTAAAAATTCGTTTTTTTAAATACTATTTTAAACATATGAGAATAATTTCTTCTTATTACTAACGTTTATTAAATATAACAAATATTCAATGACAAGTTCAAGGAAATCCTAATGAAGTCTGTACTAAATATGGAATACCAGTTATACGAATTGTATTCAATCTAGATGCGATGCAGTAAATATGCGATTTCAACTAGCTTTAACAGGTTAAGACGGAAATTCTTATTAGTTTCAATATTCGTTCGTTTAGCCTTTGCATAATTCAATGTTTAAGTACTTATAGGACTTTTATATTATAGAGTTTATGAACGTTAACGCAATATGTATCCTGACTAATGTTATTAACGTAAACGCATTTTTCTTTGTTTTTTACCTCTTCGTTCTTTATATATGTATGGATACTATAAAAAATAAGGAAATGCATAACATATATATCATATTTATGTCAGACGAGAACGTAAGCAGACAATCAAATTATCTAGGTGATGCGGACGAAGTTGCTAGAATATAATAGTACTTAGTATCATAATCATTATATTGTAATCGATATTATAAATTACCTATCAATATTACAAGTTTTGCGATAAACAGTACAAAAATAACATCAGATATGTTATTTTTGTAATAACATCTCTGTATTAGTATTTTTATATAATTATTTTGAATAAATACAAAGCTCTATCGAAACTTAATTAAATTTGAATGAATTGTTGCACCTTGTACAGGTGATTCTCCCTGTACGCTGAACTGCAGACCTCTTGGTCAACACTTCTACGCATCATTAGCGCTGGTTGCAGATGGAACGCCATGCACTCGGCCTGGCTTCAGAGCGATATGTGTGCAAGGAGTTTGTAAGGTGAGCATAAAAACTTTTTACAGTACTGGCTACTACTTGTTGTAAATTTCTGTCTATGAAAGTTCTGACTTTCGTATTCACAGATCTGCCGTTACTGTATTATAATGCCTTTTAAATGTTTCTAATACTACAAAAGGTTATAGATTATATGGAAATGACTTTCATATAAGTTCCATTTGACAATTGATAAAAGATTTCGTAAAAAAATAATATTAGTTTGATATGCCGTAATATTATATCGCTTAGTAGACAACTTTGTCCCGCTAGTAACTCTGTATAAAGGATATAAAGGAATTATCCCGAATCATTCACCTGTTTACAATCACAATCTCAAAAATAATTTTTGAATAGGAATTTTATTGCATATTTATGGAAATATTATAGTAAAGTCATTTTTTTCAAAAATAAAATCTATATATCTCGATATTGGAATAGGCATTGATTTTGTTTATAATTTGAATTATAAGTAAAATTTACTGCTTAAATATATATATCCTTATTAAATAGTGGATATATCCGACCATAGATATAATGTGGTGAAAATAAGATTCAACAATGTGCATATTTATATATGCGGCAAACAATCGTACTACAATTATTTTGCATCGTAATCAAACCGCGGATTGTTTATTGAGTAAATGTGGAGCCGTAAAGTTCAGCAAAGTATTGAATTGATGCAACATTGTATTGCAGATAGCAAGGACGCATGCGTCGCGATCGTAAATTTATTTGAGTATTGTTATTGCCTATTATTATGTGATAATGAATCGTTTGTCTAACTGCTCAAGAGTTTACTGTCCAGTCTTAAAGTTGTGTCTTTGGCCTACACATTTTATGGCACTGAAAATTCATGAAAACTGTAAATCAATTTGTTCTAGTTTTTTAATATGTCTGAAATGGAAAACAAGGTGACAGAGCACAATGGCCGAACAAATAGAAAATAGTAACCATTGCTTATAAAAAACTTAATGACAATAGTTTGAAATCATTTTGTTTTCATTATTAATATTTGCATACGCCTACGGGATGCTGCATGTCATATTATTTTATACATTTAGTAAGATCTAAAGTTAATAATAATTATTATTATTTAGTAACTAGTAAATATACCATTAGCACTAAAATATTAAAATATACTGTAACGTCCGTGGTACTCATGTCTTGGTAAATTTAACACTATAATTTAAGTGCGCAATATACATTTTATACATCTGTACTCGGAAATTTCAAAATTAACAATTTAATTACAAAAAAAATATTAAATTAATTTAGTTTCGACAGATAGCGACAGAGATAAATTACGCTAAAGTCTTTATATAGATTTAAAAATAATAGTAAATACTCATATTAAATTTATATAGTTAATAGTGATGTAATATTGCATTATTATTTTCGTCATCATTATTAGTAATAAATAATTGAATATCCAAGTTGGTAAAATTTTGTTTTCGATTGCACCTATCTTCAATTGCAATAAACAACAGTATAGGTACCGTAGGTTGTGACCTGTGTATTATTATAGCCTAACAATAACATAAACAAAATTACCTATAGTGTTCACGCTACAACAAAGATATACTATAAAAGGGTGTTCATATAATACTATTAACACCTCTTACAACTTCGCAACCTATACGCAAATAAAGCTCCTACACCATTGTACATTTCAAGCGATTTTTAGTGATTTTGTATGTTTATTTTTTAATTATTTTATTTAATATAGCTGATTTTATACTGAGTTATATATTTCTGTCTATATATAATACATTTTATTTGCGAAAAACGTATAGTTTGAAATTGACTCATGAAATTTTCTTAACAATGTAATGGATAAATTTGTCTTTAAATTACTAAATAATATTTATATACAAATATGTCTACATAAAAATTGTTTTATATGTAGTTACGGGAATCTATTTAAGAAACAAGATTTTATTTATGCCGCAAATTTACATATCGTACGAGTACCTTTTATTCTTGCGCTAGCTATCGCTTAGCAAGTTTAGTGTAATCTTTTATAAAGAATAACGTTAAGTTTAGTATAAGGCGCCACATGCTCTAATACTATAAAAGGAATAAGTAATTTCCCAATGTTCGGTAAATCCTTTTATGAAATTAATTGATATTGTATTAACATTTACAGGCAGTGTCTTCATTAACTTTATGTGTGTAATAAAGTTAGACATTATTATTTAATAAAAAAATTACATTTTGTTAAGTAGTCAAATTATATTAATCGTAATTACTATAAAGAATGAATTGAATGATATCTTAGATTAGTAAGTAATGAAAGAATAGTATCGCGGGGAGTATCATCACAACCTGACATTCATAGTGCTGTTCATGTATATAGCCGATGGTTAAGGTGATATATAAGCGTGTTTGCCACAATAAAATAAATGGTGATAGATATTTAAACAATATTATATATTCAATATTTTAAAAGATATTTTAAAATATTGAATATAGAGTTTTACTTTTCTGTATCAACAATCCTGTCATTATATGGACTGGACCGAAAGAAAATATTTCTTTTTGTTGTGTAAATTGTTTCACTATGGTATATTCAAGTATGAAAAATATAAATAAATGTTTAAATGTACATACTACAAAATGTAAACTAGGCGCTAATATTACAGATAAAGGTCAAACGGAAACAAGTGCATATATAAATATATTTTATTTATTTTTAATTTAATTTGATAGAAAATACATAGACTTATTATTATGTAGACAAGTTAACGTGAAATTAGTGTAGGTAACGTTAACGTAATTGTAGCGAGCGTCGCCGGCGCCAGTCGGTATGCGATAGATCGGCGATTACTGCCTGCCACCCACCGCCTCAGGCGCGGTCCTATTCTAAATATATTGATGCGATATATAGATATATGTTAAAATTACTTTTTATTTCTTTATAAAGATCTGTTAATTTAGCATCTCTGTCGTCTTCCGAAACAAAAAGTAAAAAAAAAAAACTTCAAAATCTAAGCATTACATTCCGTAATAATTATTATGTTAAGATTCTAAGTACATATTTACAGTAATTATTATTTTTTGGTATAGTTATTTAAAAAATTATCTAAGTTCATATATATTAGTATAATTATGAACTCTCTAATAATATATTTCTGAGTTACTTTTACTATTTAGATTAATAGATCTATTAAAATTTATTTATATACTTGACTTGATTATTAAAGCAGTCTTAGTCTAATCTAGGTTTAGGTCTCCATCATCGACTGGCTTAAAGGATGTCGATTTGTGTATTACAAGTAAATTATAAAAATACCAACCTGCTCGTGGAATAAGCCTCTATACCTGTAATTAGAAACTAAGAAAATCCGACATCTCTTTCGCATTTAAGTAGAAAGCTCATGTTAATTTTGTGACAGGCAGACGTGATCAGAATGCTACCCTTATATTCAAGTCCTCGGATCCGCACTAGTTAATCCTATTGGCATTTCTTTGACAGTGATACAAATGGTGAAACAAAGTTTATTAGATTTGATATTTAGTTTCTGGTTAACTATAATGGAAATATGATTTATTGACTGATCTAACAACAGAACAATATTCTCTATTTAATTTACGATTAAAAAAATCCATTCGAAATTTTTTGTAAATAATAATAAAAAAAAAGATTTTGTGTTGTATCCAATTGTATTGTAAATATTTAAACATACTAATAAAATATTCTAGTTGCTCTTCTTAATAAGAAATAGTCAAGGATGTGATAATGTAAATGTGCATCAATTTATTGTCAATAATATAGGACTTCGGCCGGCATCATTCTCGTTACAGTAATATGTCTGGATTGTCCTAGACCTACATATGGTAGGTCTTAATAAGAAGAAATATAAGACGTAACTGCAATGAGTCCTAGTTTCCTGGTAATAGCAATATTTATTTACTAACTACATTGAAGGTTGCACTGAAATGCAGTACTCATAATTTCATAAAGATATAGGTACTTGCAAGTATTACATTACCGCAAATGCTTGCGGCAGTTGAAATAGTGAATCATCTTTATACAGAGAAATACATAAATAAACCTATCACCTGTTAGAGGCAAAGATAAAATATTATATTAAAAAAAAATAACATGATGATTACGCAAGAAACTGTTTATTGTTAATTTTCATATGATTTTTATATAATACATACGCAAAAAATAGTCCATTTCACTTTATGTGGTGGTATTATTATGAATACCACGGATTCATGTGAATAAGTTAACATTTGAATTTTAGTTTTGATATATTGTGCAGTTATGAGAAGTACACATAACTTATTTTGTTCGAATCACTTTGGCTTTAGTTTTATTTTAATACTTTGCGTGTTCAAGAATTGTTCGGATAAAAACTTGGTACAAAGAACATTCATATAAAGAATGATTGTATTTATTATATGTTGTAATGCAGACTGCATTCAAGTATCAATGTTTATGAAATTAAACAACTTTATGTAAGGTAAAAGTAATGTAACAAAGTTTAGACTTATCGGTTTCGTACTAAACAGCTTTTTGTATATATTATGAACTTGATACTGCAACTTTTAATTTTATAAATATAATTGTTACATGTCAGATTTATTTATTTGTCATGTAAAGCAGGTTAAATTTAGCTCGTCACTTACACAAATGTAAGTCAATAGTAAACATTAACATTAAGACAAACTTAAATTTGATTTTGATATGTATTCATTCATGTGATAAAATGGATTATCTTCATTAAATGACTTTAAAGTTCTCCTAAATTTCTAAATTGGTAATTGTTATTTTTATATTATACCTCTTATTGTATCATTAAAAAGTAGCATTTATTGACATTATGTATGAGTAGAAATATGAATAGACTATACTAACTAGTACTAAATATCGAATTCCGCATGCCATGACCTAGCCCTGGTTTTTGGAATCGCTTAGCGCCCGATACTTATGCAATACAAACGTAATGTACTACCACCATTTATAAAGCATTTTCACTACCACTGAATCTATG